ATACTTTTAAGTGCTTTATATGTAGTTTATTATTTTTTTTATGAACAGAAATAATAAAAATAAAATAGAAACTTAAATTTTTTTTTTAAATAAATTCCATTTAATTTTAGTTTATAAAATGCCGCATACTTGTAAGAATTCTACAGACTAGTGTCAAGTGACAAAATTTTTCTGCCACCACTACATATAAAGTTGGGACTCGTGAAAAACTGTGATAGCTATAAACAAGGATGGTGCAGGCTTTCAATATTTCAAAATAAAATTTCCTCGAATCAGTGACGCGAAATTGAAAGAAGGGATTTTTGTAGGTTCGCAAATACAAGAACTTATGACGGATGCAGTTTTCAATTCGAAGTTGAATAAAGCTGAAAAAAAGCTTGAGTGGCTTTCGTGTGTCATAATTTTCTTGGTAATACAAAAGCTAGCAACTACCAAATCATTCGAGAGCTTCTTTCTGCTTATAAAGCTTTAGGATGCAATATGTCACTCAAAATTCATTTCTATGGACTCGCATTTAGATTTCCTTCCGGAAAATCTCGGTAACGTATCAGATGAGCATGATTAAACGTTTCATCAGGATATTATGTATATTGAAAGACGCTACAATGGAAATTGGTCAGAAGCAATGCTTGCTGATTTTTGTTCGTCGATTCTCTGAGAAACTTCGATGGAAACGATGAAAAGAAAAAGAACTACAAAATAACTTGAATTATACTACCATAATGAGATAAATATACTGATATTTCTATCACTTATGACTATAAAATTAGCATTTTTCGCTGTAAAACTTAGACCGTAGTCTTTTTTACTTTCTTTTAATTGTTGTTACTTTGATAATATCGTTTTTTAATTAAATAGGCATTATATTTAAAATCTATGTGCTATATTTATTTGCATGTTAAATTCCGTGTTCAGAGCACTAAATATAATGTTATCATGCATGAAAACAATGAAAGAAAAAAAAAATTTGGTGATATTGAATACGTAGGTATATGTACTTATCCTAACTAATATTATAAATGCGAATGTGATTTCTTTGTTTATTTGTTATCATTTCACGCCTTAAATACTGAACACTATAAAATTTTGTACACCTATTTTCCCAGAAAAATGCTATTCCCGAGAGATGAAAAAAAATCTTTTCTTCTCGATAAAATACAGTACTTATTGTCATTCTACGCAAAGTGTATGTTTAACAATCGTGTGTTGACTTATGAAATAAAAGTGAGTAAAATAAGTGAAATGGGAAACTAAGGATCAAAGTAACACATGTGGAATCAACTGTAAAACACTGGTAAACCACACATTTTTGAATAATGCAGGTCCTGTTT